GGTACCTACAAGTATCAGTATCATCTTATGAAATTTATATGATCTTATTTTATATTAATCTCAGTTACAACATTTTTCCATAAATGAAATATCAAAATTAATAATAAAATGAATGCAAATACAAATAACAGTAGAATGTAATAAATGTACATAAAATTATAGTATTTTATGTACAATTCTGATAAAATTTCATAAGAAAGGTAAAGGTACCTTTCTTATGAAATTTTATAAATTAATTAGATACCTTTCTTAAGAAATATGAAATTTAATGTCACTCTTAACAGTTTTATTTTAATTTCTTTACAATATATTTCCCATAAAGCATCATAAACGTAAAGGTGAAAGCTAAGTACAAAAAAAAAAAAAAAAAAAAAAAATTAGACCGCTGAAAGTTTTTCGTTAAAAATAACGGGTAAATAATTTGTTCACGTAAATGTAAATTATTTCACTTTTCTCCTTCCGTAGAACAAATTAGCCTCATGGAATTCGTAAATATATCATTCATCACATGTCAAGAGACGCGAAAGTTTATGACCTGCTTTGTTTTATTTTCAAATTACATCTTTTTTGGCACAAAAGCTAAGTTAAGTTTGGTTCAAAATATTTTAAATAAACATTATAATTTCTGATTTTCTTAAAATAAGTTTTGAAAAAATGATAATTGATATTTAAAAAAATTTCAAAGTCAGATTTCCAGTTTTTTTAAAATGGAAAAAATGGTCAATTTTTTTGACTCAAAAAAACTAGATTTTTTTAACGAAAATTTCAGACGTGCTAGGAACGATTAAAAAATGGAAAAAAATACCCAAAAAATACTTTGACCTTTCCTCTTAAATATTTGTTATTATTATAACAAATATTTAGACGATAAAATTTTGTTTTCGTCAAGTTTGGCGTCTTTTTCATCATGCTATGCTCTTTTTTTAGCGATCTCATGGAGGTACCTACTTTAGCCCTAGTAAAAACACAATCAGGGTATACGTCACTGTTTTCTTCAACCACAAATTCATTGTTTATTTCTATTTTATCACAGACAACTGGTTCTGCTACTACCCTGTCACCTGCTAAGTTGTTGCCTAACAGTAAGGAGACCCCTTTAACTGGTAGGGTTGGTCGTATACCAACTATGATGGGACCATTCACCAATTCCGATTTTATATAAATTTTGTGAAGGGGCACCTTAATGACACCCAATTCAATGCCTTGTAATAAAACAAAATCGCCTGTGAAGGTCGATTCCGATAGCTGTAGTATACCTTCTAATAGCAAAGTTTGAGACGCACTGGTGTCCCGTAAGATTTGGACAGACCTAGCTTTCTCAGGGTCATTGATGTAAACAGAGCCCTGGGACAAAAATGGTCTATAATTTTCCATATATGAGTTTTTATTGTTTTCAGTAACACCTGGTTTTGAGAAGGAAGACTGAGGAAAGGAGTTACTCTTAGTTTGTTGTCTAACAAAGGCATGAGGTTGAAGGGAGTTATTTTCTTCCCGTTTTTTTTAGGATTCAACAATCAGATATGATGTGATTATCCTTCTTACAGGCACAGGAAATTTTTTTGATTCTGTTGGAAGAGAACTTTTAGGTGTATCTTTTATTTTTTTGCATATAACTTCTCCAAGATACATTATGAGGGTGAGATTCCGACAGTGTATGTGTATTTATATGAAGGCCTGACTGGTTTTCAGTTATATTAGTTTTTTTTCAAAACTCTTTTTGTGAGTTAGACTATAGGTATAAAAAGTGATTACTGTGGTCTAGATTAACAGTTTCTACATTTTTCTCATCGATATGATTTAAAATCTCCTGTGAAACGCATTGTTTAAATTCTTCAACAAGAATGAGTTGGCATAATTTATCATAATCATTATTTATTTTTTCACCCTAACCCATCTATAAAAAAAGATCTGCTTTTCTCTAAGCGAATTCAACGTATGTCTGCCGTTCAAATTTTTTGTATTTCCTGAATTTTTGCCTATATGCCTCAGGTACTAATTAAAAATGCATTTAATATGGCATTTTTATTTTTTCATAATCTGTGGCCTCTTCAATACTGAGAGAAAGTATATATCAGCAGCTCTGCCAACCAAAACAGTCTGTAAGAGTGTTGACCAGATTTCGTAAGGTCATCCTAAATTTATTGCAATTTTCTCAAAATGAGGAAAATATTTTTCCACCGTTTTTTCATAAAACTTAGGTACTAATTTGATATATCTTCCTGCATCAAATGCTGCACTTAATGAAGAAGAATTATTGGAATTTTGACTTCTATTTTCTCGTTGTAATTTCAATTTTTCTAACTCTATTTCAGCTTCAATTTTTAATCTTTCCAGTTCTATTCTTTCTCTAATTTCTTTATTTCTAATTGAAAACGTAAACTACTTTGGTCGTCTTTTTCGTCAATATTACAGGAGTCTAAGAAATTTTTATCCATTAGTTCTTTAGCTACAATACTTTTTATTTCTGCTTTTTTCATTGATGGGTTTGTTTTTAACCTGAAATATTCTGCAATTTGTAATAGCTCCATTTCTGTAAGACTTGAATGATTCCCACAATTTAAAAACTTAAAAAATTTCCACAGAAAAAGGCATGTTTTTGTTTTAGCTTTTTTTTTTTGCAAATTACGTATATTGAGTTTATTTTTTTTGTACGATATTATAGAGTTGGACGAGCCCCCATTTTGTTACGTGTTGATAATTGTAACAAAGGAAAAAAATGATTTACCACAACACAGAGCTAAATCACAAACAAATATTTAATTTACTAAAACAGAACATAAAATATATACAAGATAAACAATTGTGGCCTACAAAACAGAAAACACAGAGTTACTGGCAAAGTGTTACGAGGGAGAAGGAAAGGGAGTCAAATATCTTTATCACTTTCGGGTGAGTGAAGTAATCTAAGTGCTATATTTGGAAATCCACAAAAGTGTGTAAATAAATATAAATTTTTAGTTTGGTCAATGAAAATTAGTCAAAATTCTATTTACCAAATTTGTTTCATAAAATTCTCTTTTGGGTTTTGATTGGTCGGCAACTTTTTATAGAGATTCTTTTGGCTGGATATAATAGTCCTTGAATCAAAAGCCGGAGTTGATAACAGCAGAAATTCCTTTTCATCAACTGACAACCTTTTTCCAAAATCCCATTTTTATAGGGGCTTTGCATATTTCTAGATGTTTCTTGAATATACTAGATTTTTCTCGAATATACTTGATTTAGAATGATCTTCCAAACATTCTATTTCTAATTTCTCTATTTTACAACTACTTCATGAATGAAAACTTGTTTGTAATAACAAGTAGAACTCAATAGAATCCCTTATTATAGAAATGCATCCTCATAACATTATTTAGAAAGAGAAAAAAATTTATGCATACACATACAAAAAGTTATGCACAGAATCATACAACAGAAAGTATCAAGATATTCTAAGTGTTTCAAGAAGAAAAGTAGAAAAACAGATTGAGCTGAAGTAGTATTTAAAGGACACATTTATTCAAATTATGACAGGTCTGCTTCCTAAGCCGGGATAGATCAAATGAGCTGACTCATAAATCTGGCAGTCCAGCTTGACATGCCTTAAACATAGTTGAATGAAATTAAAGCTGTAGTCTTCAACATATGTACAGGACCAAATAATATACCATGTACATTGTCAAAAAAATGATCTAAGAGTGCTTAATATAGTGTGGTATATGCTGTGATTTTCTTATTCTAATCAAATAATGTCTGGTGAATCATAGATTTATCACAAGGATACTAATGCTAGGTTGCTAAACTAGTTTAAACAGATGATTTTTGTTAAAAATCAAAGAGAAGATTATGCTTATGTGATAGGTTTATGACTTTGATATTACTTATCAGGTTAATAAATCAATTGATGTAGAAACCTAATATTTCAAGTTCTCCATGTTGCATTGAACATGCTCATTGTATCAATTATTGGCTTTTTCATAAGGTGATGATAATGATAAGATGTTAGATTGAATATAGAGCTGAGCATAAACAAGAGAACTTAATATTCAGTCATATTAGTCTGTTGGGCTGTTTTATTTTAGTTGAGGAAATGAAAATGAAAAGGAATAGAAAAAAATGTGAATCAAATTCTAAAGAGTGCCAAGAAATGTAACACTTAAAACATTAAAGAGAATTTAAACATTTGTCTAAAAATATAGAGAATAGTACTTAGCATCTGTTTGTAAACTAGTTTACTCCTGCAAAAAACTGCAATATAACAATTTAAGTTTTTGAAATTTTATAAAATATATATATTTATATATTTCTACTATCAGAAGAGTCCATTACATAAAGATGACAAAATTATCACCAATTCAATATAAGTCTTGAAGTGTTACACACACACACACACACACACACACAAGGTGCATGTGTATGTAGTCAGATAAATGTTCTGCTCATAAAAATTGACAGGTATTAATTCATTTGTAGCTAAAAATGATAATTAGTCCAAGAGAAAACGTAATTTATAGTTGTTGTCAGAACATCGAAATCCCATTCTTAATAAAAATTATAAGTTGAATATTTTTAAATGATGTATACATAATATTTAGGAAAATATTTTTCTAAAAATAAATAATAATGTCAATATTGAAGAAGAAAAGTATCTAAATATATGCATACAATGCAATTAGTTGTTACTTAAGATGATATTTTTTTTTCTTGCAAAGGATTTTTGACTCATATTGATAAACAAAATGGACCTTAAGAGTAACAAAGAATGTGTGTGTATATGGGTTTTAAAATTTATATTTCTCATCTTAAACTGTCCAAACACTGAAACATAATAGACAGAAAAGTTTTCCAGAAAATTATACAAAAAATATTTCATGTCAGTAGTCTTATATAAAATAAGCAATGCAATGTTTATACCTAATATTGATCTGACATTTATAACAGAGATTTGAAAAAAGAAAAAAATTTCAACCCTATACAAGTAGACATTAATCTTTGAATGTATCAACTGAGAATTTTACCTTCTTTCAGTTGGCATTTGACTGATGGATCATCAATGATTTCACAAACAGCTACACAACTGAGTTGGCTACCAAGCTGGCTCTTAGCCCATCCAAAGCCTGATGGACTATAGTGTAAAGATACTGACAATTCACTTGACAGGTAAGTACCTTCACCAAATATTCCATTCTACAAAGTACAAAACAAAGAAAATAATTACTTGAAACCAAAGTAACTACAGTTACATCCTATTTAATAAAGCTGAATTTAACATGTAAGTATAACACACACATACACACACACAAATATGTCCAGTGGAAGGAAACACATAGAAAACATTTCTGATTGTTATAATTCATGAGGTATTTATCTTAAAATTGTATAATGTGGTAAAACTATTTCAATTTCTTTAAAATTGAAAAGAAAATTACAAAATGTTTCTTTCAGTAACAATATTCAGTAGTGTTGTTTTTTTAAAATACTGCTCTCTTCCATAGTTGTAATGCTGTTGTTTAGAATGGTATATAATTAAATTTTTTTTTGATGGAAAATGTGAAGGTTGGTATTTTTGTTAATGTGTAGTTAATAAAGGCTAGCTGAAAAGTTAACTGGCTTTTAAAACAGTGATGGAGGATGAAATACTACAGATGCAAGACCTTTATAAATAAATATTGATTACTTTAATATAGGTATTTCCAAAGATTTGCTAACAAATAAGCATACATGATAAAGAAATGCTCCAAACATAAGTTTCATTGTCAAAATCTTTATGAAGAGAAAAGGCCAAAGGATGTTTTGATTATTAAATTATATTTTTGATCCTTTTTAGAATGTTCAAAATTTTGTTTAAAAATTTTTTTTGTGTGTCAACAGGGGACCATAAATTAGTATAGGAAATTTTAGCGTCTTTTTGCAATGAAAAACACATTGTTTTGAAATTCCTGCAAAAATCAAATAATTGTCAGATTTTAATGAAACTTTCAGGAAGGATTTATTCACAAATGAATTAAATTAATGTTCTTTTAGAAAATCTTGGTAATTTTTTTTTTTTTTTACATCTATTGGAATTAAAACTAAAATAAAAACTTCAAGAAAGATTTTTCATTTTTAAAAATTTATTTTATACCTTTATAGGTATTGCATTTCTTTGGAGGTACAGTGTAACCTGGAGAGTTGTCGGGACAAGAGAAGAAGTCTCTTATATCTGGGTTTCTCTTATATCCGGGTTTCTCACATCTGGGTTTGGTTTATTTTGTTTAGGTAACACAGACTCTAATTTGGGACCAGAGAAAATCTCTCTTATATCCAGGTTACACTGTATCTGCTTGTGACCATGAAACTTGTTAGCCTAACAGTGAAATTTTCTTTTCTGATAGCCTTTATGTAGTGAGTCTGCCTTGACGTTTGCATAGAAGATTGAGTTGGTGCTATACAATTTCTTTTTTAATTTGTGATGAAAGATTAAGATGAAATCATTTTTTAACTGTTAAATAAAAATTCAAGTGGATAAATTACAAAAATAAAACTGATGTATTGACTGACCTTGTTCATGTGTGAGGCAAGTCCATTATGCAAAATTGAATGAAAATTTTCAATGCGGCTGCCATGATAAGCATAGAAGACTTTTCGGCCTTGCTGCAGTTGCTTGAACTTTAACTGGTTTGTTTTGTTGGGCAAGACTTCAAATATGTAATTAGGTTCCACAGAAGTTGGCTCTCGACTGCCCGTCAAAGTCAAGATATCATAGTACTAGTTAAAATACATGTAAGAAAAAGAAAGAAGAAACATGAAGTCCACAACAAAAATTATCTCTAAGGAATGTTAGCGGCTCACTTTCCCATAATACAAATCAACAAAGTAAACTGACTTTTTACATAATTTTTTTCTACTTACAATCAAAATTAGTTTTTACTTTAGATCAAACTAAATTTTTCTTTACTTATGTTAATATAGTATATGACTATAGATTACTGATATCTGAATTATTTACATCTTGAGAAAAGACAAATTTTCTTCCCTCTATCAAGAGAAATCACTTTATTAATACTGAAATCTATTTTTTGTAAAGTAATTAATCTATCATCCATCAATATTTACTTAATTTTGTCAAGGATGAAATGTTATAAGTCAAATTTTGTGTTAGATGATGTATTAATTTTAGAATTCAATCCAGATATATATTATTTATACTAGTAAAGTTTAAACATCTTTCATAATATCCCCAAAATCAATTAACTTTGATAAAAGTGATTTCCAAAACATAAAATACAAATAAAAACCACTAACATGATTTTTATTCCTTGATTTAAGAGTAAAACTTTTGTTGCTAAAGTGCCAGCTGAGGAGATCCAATGTTGACTGAGATAGAGTTTCAAGCATCTTCTCAAACTGAACAATCATAGGCAATTCATTTATTGCCTGTTCCTGCAGAGAAACAAAATATTCATCTATTACACAGACATATATATTATAGCCATGCATAAGAGGGAAGTGAAAAGTTCTCAGCCTGATCCACTTCCCAAACTGAATATTCTGATGTTTGTTTGCTGAAAGATTGATTTGGAGAAGTAGGTCAAGCTGAGAGCTTTTCAGAACCACTTTGTATATAGATACCCAAAATTATTTTGCTAAGAACATGCTGTTGCAGAAATGGGAAAAATTATTATTTTATGGTTCCTGGTATTGTTTGTCCCGCAAACAATATTTTGCAGACTCGTGTGAATCCAGCTAACAAAAAAGAACACAAGACATGGAATTTAAACAAATGATAATTAACATTTAACATGTCTTAAGTCCTGGGTGGTTATATCTGAAACTAAATCAAGGAAGCTGCCTGCATTCATATTTGACCTTTATCTGGCCAAGTTCTTCAGAGTCTGAACTATCTCTGACGCTAATCGATACAAATTCACTCTGTAAGGAAGTTTCTGGTTTATCATTGAGAATTTGTAGAAAAATTTGAACAAAATCTAGGCAACTCTGAATTGAGAATCTGTATTCAATAGTAACGACCATTGCTTTTTGGCTGTTTATTATAAAGGTTAAGAGGCAGCTCATTTGATATTCCAGTGTTCAAGACAAGCATCTTGGAAACATACAATCAGATTGAGTACCACAAGAAAGATGATTGATAGTGCCTTGTGGCACAGACCGACTCTCACCTGTAGGTTCAGGTGAAATTGAAGGCAAAAATTCCCTTTATGATTTATCATTCTCATCTTTTCCCATAATGCAATGCATCACATTTGCATCCACCTCCAAATGTGTTGTTGCTTGTCTTTTTAATTTCTTCTAATTGTTGTTGGTGATGACTATATTGTACTTGCAATGTTGGCTGACCTAGTCTCTTGTTGTGGTTGTCCATCCATTGGAAAGTTAGGTGAGCTGTCTTTTCATTTGCAGAAAAGGGATGTGATTAGTAGAAGGAAAATATCTGTTCAAATTATGATATTTACACACTAAAACCATTTATGCTTTTTATATATACTGATGGTGGTTTTTGTCTGGAGTGACTTGTGTCAAGGTGTTTCCCAGTGGAAAATATTTATAGGACTTGCTATAGAGGGTGTAAATCAGTGGCCTATTGCTTGTGTATACTGTGAATTCATGTCCTTCTAAAATATAATTGAAATGTTGGATAGATGGCGAGAAGTTCTCTTGAAAATGTGCTGTATTTCATCAGTGAAGAATTCAACTGGAGAGAGAAAAAAGATATAGGTTAATTGCTGTTTTTGGGGATAAGACAAGGTAAAGAAAGCAGGAGAGACAAGAGCATTTTCTGTTGATGCCTCTTAAGTACTCACATACTGCATGTTCTAATTCCGCAAGAAGGAACATGTTGCCACCCCCAAAACCAAAGAGGAAAGAAAAAGAACCTTTCAAATATTGCACTTCCTGTGATTATTGTCAGGGGGCGGTAATCAAACAATACTGTACTCATAAAATTCACAGAATTAAATGCTAGTAAAACAGTATATAATGAAATAAACACTTTTCAAAGAATAAACTGAAAAAACTATATTTTACTGATAAAACTACATTAAACTTTTCACTTAGTAAGCAACTTTTCAAAACAAAGATAATCTTCATTACTACAGTATTATTGAGAGCTTTTTATAAAAGAGGTCTAAATATCTTAATTATAATAAAACATTACCTTGATTGAGGATTTCACCTCAGGAAAGAAAAGACAAAGAAACCGATAGAGTCACCCTGAAACCTTGTGAAAAGCAAGAAAAAAAAGACGGGAGTATTTTTGTAAGATAAGTACTATCAGTCACTGAAATCGACAAGTGAAACAAAAGAGAGAAACATAAACAAGTTCAGTCTGAAGTAAGGTAGATATTTTTTTTCTATTTCATCCTTTGAAATATCTGCATACTTTGTTAGATTCTCTGAAGTAGTGATGGCAAACACAGCTGAAAAAGCTCTCCAGAAGCTAATGGCATAGTTAGAACTTAACAGAATTTTGCTGGAAAGGAAGTGGAATTGAAACTTTGCTTAACGAAAAAAAGTGGAAATTTATGAGTTGCTAGAAAAAAAATGATTAAAACTGGCATCTAGCATATAATCAAAAGCCTGTCCCAAATGTTGTGTCAGGTGGCAAACATTGAAGGTCATAAAATAGCAAAATAAACATGGTAGGCAAGTTGTCACATGTTTCCAGGTCACTACAGTGAAAAAATTAGAGCATGAGCTCACTTTAGTATGAAAATATTGCTGATTGAAGAGATACATCCCCATTAAAATTCTTTGAAATTTGCTGTTTCATTACCACTACTTTTTAATGTTGATAGAGGGTAGAACTAACTTACTTAATGGCTCAAGTTCAGTATTGGGCTTTGAATCAAGCATATCAGAATAAAAAAAATCTCACCTCAACATATTTTCAGTTTTATCATAATTTTTCACCATTTTAAAGGGCTTTTTGTTTAAATTCCACTAAAAATAACTTCCAGATGTTTCTAGTCTTTTTAATAGACCTTAATATATTTAACTTGGGTATGGAATATTTTTGTTCTGTAGTATATGATTACTGTTGCACCATGACATATTGAAGAGATTGAAATGTTTGTTGTGGACCATGATATCCATAAAGCACTGTCAGAACTTGTCAATTCTGAATAGATAAATTGCAAATCTTTGTTCCAAAACATTTACATTTTGTTATGCTTTCAAATCACTTTGTTCATAATTTTTGGTTAGTTACTATGAGAGAAAGTCTCACTTACAGCCACTTATTAAGTAAATTTAGTTGATTGCTATTGCTCTCTTGGCTCTGCTCTGAACTAACTGCAGGACTTCAGGAATAATTGATGTTTCACAACTTACCTATAGATTGAATAACTACTAAACTAAATAATTAAATTTATTGTCCTGGAGGAGGTTGTGAACCTCCATACAGCTAGTTCAAAACAGAGCTTCACTCTTTCTATCAATTTTAAACAATTTTCATGATAAGATCAATTGCTTTATTAATTGTTCCAAATATTACTAATTCTACAGAATGCTTTGTGCATTGTGAAGAAAAGAAGTTATAAAATGATCATTATCATTCAATAGATGTCTTTTTCTTTCAATTTCACTGTTTGCAGCATTTTATCAAGGACCAAATTAATTTTTGTTGCACCGTGACACTGGAGGTATAAGAAAAAAAAAGTTGAAATGACTGATATTGGTCAATAGATACCTTTAAGATTTCTATTTTCTTGTTTTAAAACAGTTTATTCGGTAATACTATGATTCTGAATGATTAGAACCAAACTGAAACTTGAGTTTTTGTTGTGCCATGACAGATGGTCTAATGGAAAAAAAGTATGATAATGACCAATGAGACTCAAAGTCTCATATCTTTATTTTTCATAACATTTTATTATGTAATACCATTATTTGGAGTGATAGGAACCATATTGTAGTAGTTAGTCTCAGTAAATTTGAATTTGATGGAACATGATGGAAAATATTTAAAGGTAAAAAAATGTAGGAAAGGTTGAAGGATTTGATACAATTTTTGGTATGAATTACAAGCCTATAGGCACCAATAATAAACACCAAAGATATTTAAAAGAATGTATTCAGAAAAACTTCAGGGGCAATATCCACCTTGTGTTGCACTGTGGCATAAAATCCAGACTAACACAAGTAAATCCAATTTTTTCATGAAAACAAAACTAGTAATAGGTGGCACTTGTTTTGGTATGTTAAATTTAAGTACCCAGCACAAGTAAATGTTTAGAATGGGTTCCAGAAGCTAAAATAAGATTGTAGACATCCTACCAAACTTGGTTCATCATTTTTTTGGCTAAAATGTTTCATAGACAATTTCTGAAAAACATAGCTGAAATTTGTACGTTTAGATATGTGTGCGCAATTTTGGGGCTAGTCTCTTGAAATTATATGTATATCTGATGTTTTTATGCTTTAGTCAACTTATAACATCAACAGTATGAGAAAATAAAGTGTATTTTACTTTTTGATTTCCTGTGTTTCATTGATTTTAGGGTCAAAAATAGGGTTTTTAGGAGCCTAAATGTGCATGTTACTTTTGAGTAAAAATAACCCCATCATGTTATATACCATTGGAAGCAAAATTTTGAGTAAATTCCTGAATATTTTCAACTCATTTCCATTTCATAGGAAAAAGTTAATATGCTTTAACCTATTTTCAGAAACCTTGGGATGAACTTTTGACTATATGCTATCTCATTACTCAAAATGGGTTGCCTTAGACTGTATCTAGAATAGCAGCCAAACGTAATCTGTGATGATCTGGTTACACAGTTACAGAAGAATACTGAAATTATACAATTCCTCTGGCAGGAATTAAATAGAGAAAAGATAAATCACTGTCAGAGCTGACAAAATTTTAAGCCTGACCAAGAGAGCCTATAAAGATAGGAATAAAATAGCAGCTGCTATCCAAATACAAATAGCTGAGTACTAAATAAATGCACTGATAAATAATTGTGTGTGCAAAAATATAATGAAAGCTGAGCCAGGTATATTAGATGGTGCATTTGCAACAACAAAATGGAATGAGGGATTGCTAGGAAGGTGGGAAAAACTGAAAAATAGTATTATTATGAGAAATCAAAACAAAGTGATTAAGGGACTTCTCTTGTGGTGGAAAATGTGGCTATATGAAGGTAAAGTGAGAAATAATTGGCCTGGAAATTAGAAGAAATTAGTGGAATTGTTGAGGAATAATAAATGCTTAATTCAGGTAAAGAGCCAAGTAAAATTGAGATGGTAGAGAGTCATCTCCAAACAAATCTAAAGTATAATTTAGTAGATAAAACTGTAAAGTTAAACTAATTTTGCAAATTTTGAATGTAAGCCAGGTTTTAGTGATTCTTTTTGACAAACAAAAATTACTTCAAGAGAATTAAAGTTTTTAAAATATATTTGGTGAAGACATGGTTATACTTTTTATAACTTTGATTTAACCTTTAGAACACTGCATTATTAATATTACTTTCCATTGCATTCTTTTTCAAAGCCTCTCAATTGAAGCATCCTTATAGTTAATTTCATTCAAAGTTGTTTTCTGTTGCCATAGAAGGATATGACAACACAACTATAAAATTCAAATACACTGTTGTTCAGGGACCAGGGTCACCTTCAGTGGCAGGATAAACTTTTTGTACAACAAATGAAGTCACATAAAAAGTGATAAAGGTTAAAGCACTTTTAAGATTAAGTTCAGACTATTTTACAAAAATTTATTTTTGCTATTTTGTATTTAATATTTCAGAGATGGTTTTTTCAATTAAATTTTAATTAAAAAAATTAATTTTCAACAAATTTAGTTTATATAAAATAAAGATATTCAAGTTTCTGAGAAAATTTTTGGTGACAGGAAATGTAGATAAATATGTTGGCACAAAAAGTAAATATTTATCATTTACCAATTTATGAAAAAATATGAAAATTTTTTATTCATAAGTTTATAAAGATTAAATTATCAAAATATGTGAACCAACCATAATGAAATCTTTATTTACCATTTTATAAAGTTCAAATCAATTAGCTGATCTGTCTATATTTCTGAGATGAGGTACCAAGTTCCAAGTGCCATGTTTAATACCCGGTTAAGGCAGTGGAGAACTTTCAGAGGGGAATTAACAGGAGATAACCGACATCCATTAAACATGGTACGTGGAACTAGAACAGTCTACCCCAGTGAGAGCGAAATAAAGGGTTCAGTTCAACATTCCAGCCACCTGAAGAAGGCCGGAGCATACAACGACCGAAACATTGTAATAAATATGGCGACAAAGATGGGGACAATAGTCCAAATAATGTAAATAGTGTACAATTATCTGATGTTTTGCCAACAATTCCAATAAAGAATCTAATAAATAAATAGTGTAAATAAACAATCTAATAAATATTGTTTATATTTGTTGTCAATTCTCAAGAACAAAGAAAATATATAAATTCACTTTCTCATATATTTCTCTATATTAAAATTTTAATTGTCTCTTTTTAAAAACAAACATTGCCGAGGAGTGAAGGGAGTTAAAATAATAGTGGTGTCAAGGGAAAAACTCATTTTGACACATCATTCTTTTGTAGGCACAAAGGTCCATATTTTTATTACAAATTGCTATTTATTTCAATAGCTCTAGTTTATAGTTTCTTTTATTTTTAATTTGAATGACTTGCATGTAGGAGTATTAATGCTATTAGGAATACTATGTCAGAATCTAAGATTTATTTAACCATTTATTCCAATTATAAACATTAAAAAAAATATTTCCCAATAATCAAACTTTTGTGTTATTTTTGGTGGGTTATGTGATGGTCACTGAATGTCAATTGATACATGGTTTGCATGCTGAGCTGAATAATTTTTTTTTTTTGTCTTGAAAGCCAGTTCTGTTTGTAGCATTGTGGTACCACTGCTCAAAAAGGAGACACACTGTATGTTCCTTTGCTTACTCCTCATTATTGTCTAAAATTTTTAGACAATACAAAAAAAAAAAAAGAAATTTTATGGATTTAGGAATGTCCCCACTAATTTTGTTCTCAATTTAAAAGATTAAGGTTAAAGATAATTTATTTTTAAATATAAATAAATACCAATGTCTGCTGGTGTTCCGCATTTATTTCCCTTTTATTTTTTGTGCACTTTTTACGTCAGGGGTGGGATTTTTATTTTTTTTTTACCTTTGTTGTTTTCATATTTCGTTTATAATGGCAGTTCAGTTCAAGTAGTCGAAAATGACGAGAAAAACGTGCCAATGTTTTAAAAATGCTTAAAAAAAACTTTATTTATACACAGAAATTAATTTTCCTTTTAATTTGTATTAGGACTAGAGAATTATCTTTCAAATAACACCTAAACTTAAATTCAAAGAATGCATTTAAATTATTTAAAATGCGTTTTTTTGAGTATTTTTATTTTAGGAAACTCGTGACTGTACCTCGTTGACGTTCGGTTATGACGTCAAGAACTGTAAAAATCTGATGAAATACGTTCTTAAGCGCTAGTCTTTTATGGTTTTATCCTCATTTTATAATAGGAAAAAATGCTTCTATTTCCTAACATCAATTCGAAGCTTATGAAGAAAAAAAACTCAATTTATTTATAGATTCTCCCGCCAAGATGAAGTCAAAAGTGTGTACGATACACACTTGTGACGCTGTGTAACTCGCACCATTTTTTCTAAAACACGACCAATAATGATTGCGAAGTCAATACATCAAATTACATGAACAAGTATATTGTTGTCATTTATTAAATGTAGCTTCTGCTTAGCTATGGCATAAGGCTGAAAATTTGGAGCACCCACTGAACAGACTCTCAATATATACACTATCATTATGGGTTGGAAGTAAAGCCTTTTTTTTTTTTCATTCGTTTTCTTTCTCTGAAATTACAAATCAAGAACTGAATTGAGACTAAATGCTAAAGGTAAAAAATCGATTCTTTGCTAATGGCGAGTTGAATAAAGTCATTGAAAATTTAAAACGTTCAATGGATGGATTGCAAATATTCAATAGCATGCAATATAAATTCGTTTATCGGTTTCTTGAATCGAGAAACCTTTAAAGAAAAACTAACTAATTTACATTCTTTGGAGAAATATTGTAGGTTCAATTTTAAATGAAGTAACGATAAGAAAGAAATGTTATTTTATTGGGTGTGAGCATAAAACCGATTATAAAAGGTTTAACAAAAAAATCCAAGACATTTCTTCAAACTGGGGTCACTCAGAAAAATTCAAATGAAATCAGAAAGTGGAATATTGTTGTTGGAAAGATTATCGTGAATTTCGCGATATTCAATTTCTGTTATAAAAAAAAAATAGGTAAGTCAAGGCATTTTAGGAAAATTCTCATGCTGAATACAATATTACAGTACACCAATTAGAAAACGTTAGATCCAACGTAAAAGAAAACTCTTATGGCCATTTATAACTTTGCAATAATAATTATTATAATATTATGTAATTAACTTCTTACCAGAGCCTTTCTATCTTTTTCAGATCCTCCTTTAATAAAAGCAGGAGGGAAAGGCCTCAGAACCGAATCGTGTCTATAACTGTGGACGGCGGCAGCAAATAGACTTAGAGTAAAATCAGCGGCCAGTGGATCGCTTTGCACTCGCTCCAAAACATAACGGGACACACCAGATACTTCACTGGACAATGACATGGTTAACTTAACTATGTTTTCATAGAAAACAATATCAAACGCTAACTCAGCTGCACTGCTAAGTCCGAACAAATTCGGTTACTGCTTTTTTTATGCCATAAAACAGAAATCCATGTTGACATATTTTTTGATTGAGTTCAACTCACGCCAAAATCTGTAGTGAATTATTTGATAAGAACTCTGTGCGAACAAGAAAATAAACTGCTTATTATGATAATTCCTCGGTGAGAAAATGAAACTGCTTTATTTATTTTTACCTTTATAAAGAAAGACATCATTATTTCATTTGTAATTAACAAAAAATGAGTAACTGAAGAAGTACTTTTTACCTTATTATTGATTCATATTGCAACCTGCGTAACTGTAAAAAAAACTAAGTAAAATTATTTTTTAATTTTTTCACCAGAACATTTTCATTTATAATTTAATTTACGAGAATGGATAAGACGTGTGTGTGTGTGTGCATAAGATTTTTCAGAGAAACTAGTTACTAGAGTAGACGAAAGAACGGAAAGCCTTTTCTGAATTTGAATATTTATTTACACTCTCTACACAGTGTGATGAATTACAAACACACGAACGGCCTTATTCTGACTGATTGGACCTCTAGTCTAACGTGACCGATGGTTTGATCGTACTGGCATTGTTCAAGCTGATGATCATGATAGATTACCCACTATCTCTCAGAAACCGTAACTAATATATGCGCAGCCTACTTGTGCTATAAACCACTGGTGGGCTCTGTGGGTATTGAACAAACACAAATGTGCCTGAGGTGTCTCTAACAGGGAATGACTAACTGCCTTAGGCTTCCGCTTAACAGATGGGTGTGTTTGGAAAATGAGAGTGGCCAGCCATTACACATATATTCTGTGTATTTAGGCAGAAATGTTCATTTAAGGCAATAAAAACAACATATTTTCTGTTAATTACTTTTAATGTTTGACTTTTCCAAGTTATGAATAATCCTTTTTAGACAAGGAGGAATTGTCCAAAGTTCCATTCAGAAGAAAAGTACAGGGGATATGGTCTAAGCTTTATTTACATTATTCGGACTATTGCCCTCATCTTTGTCGCCATATTTATCACAACGTTTCGGCCGTTGTACGCTCCGGCCTTCTTCAGGTGGTTGAAAGCTCCTAGACTGAACCCTTTATTTCACTCAGTGGGGTAGACTGTTTCAGTTTCACATGCCATGTTTGATGGATGTCAGTTATCAATTATCTCCTATTAATTTCCCTCTGAAAGTTCTCCACTGCCTTAACCGGTATTGAACTCACTCTTTGGGTCCTGTCACTGGATCTAATAACGCCTTTATCCATTGTGCCATGTGTCCTTGACCACACAATTTATATTAAACGTAAAATACCACAAAGCATGAAATACAAGAAGGAACAGAATGGTTTTAAAACATAACATTGTATTTATTTGTGTGCTGATGTACATGCATACAGGAATTTGGAAGAGTAAAAGAGAATGAGCAAACTCGTGTCTGCTATTTATAGATAATGTTGTAGACTCATCCAATTTTCCTTACCTTCCAACCCTAACAAAAGCACAGTCCACATCTTACGCCTACATACCTAAAAACTTCAACCAATCAAAACTGCACGAAACAAAGCAAACAATCTCATTGGTTCATCACTGAAAGTTCACGTGCATAATAGAAACTCAAGTGAGCCACCTTTGGAATTTCAGACCTTATAAAAATAAACGAAGACAGCCCCAGGCAGTCAGTAACACGCATTCACAGAGAACTTTCCAAAATATTCCATCACTCAGAATCACAATTTTGCCAGCAAAAAGATACATCCTTGACTCCACCTTTCGATCAAGCCTTAATCAACTCTGTGTACACCATTTCAACTTTGTTTATTTAAAGTGAATTAAATTCACTACTTATTAAGTAAAACACTAACTAATGAACGACATTACAAAACACCACACTACATTAAAGTTAGTAGATCACTCTTAAAAACTCTTTAAAAAGACACTTATTATTAACAATTGGAAATATCGACACAAACAAAAGACTGCAAATCAACGAACAATTGCAAAGAGAGACATTCAGAAATCTCAAAAACCTCATGCACATTTAAACATATAACATACATCAATTATCCTAGATGTATATTGTTTTGAATTGTATATAATGTTGTATTGATTTCTAATTGAATATGTCTCGTTTTTCAATTGCATTTTAATTCGTTTATTTATTTGTTTGGGATGCAGAAAAGACACGAACCAACTCAAAAATTCCTTCTGATTCTTTCTAACATAATTAACAGACTCTGCACGTCCCCAACAATGTAATTGTGACAGGATCAAGATCACTGTGCAGAAAGAATTATTCTTCACGTGCAGATGATCTGATTGGTTGGCATTGACCAATCAGCGAGTGAGTTTTGGGGAGACTTAAGAACGCTTCTGGGATCCATTTCTCCTAGAAGTGCACAAAATTGACTACATGAAAATAGAGCAATTACAAAATTGTTGCATTGCTGCAATTTGTAAATTGTCTATAATAATGTTGTGGTGATTTATTAACCAATGAATGTTTGTCATTGTATGTGATTTGTATTTGTGTATGTATGTATGTGTGTGCAATATAGATCAGCATACTATAACAGCTTATTTAAAAAAAAAATAGCAATAGCATGCTGGGGGTGTCTTTAAAACTCTACCAAGAAACTCCACCAATCAATCAATGTACACCCAAATCTGGGAGACCTCCTAAAATTGAATGCTTTAGATTTCAATAATTCATACACTACTAGTTATTTCCTTGCTGTCAAAGTCTGATCTAGTAATACAATATCATCTAAGTGGTTGAAACCTTTCTAACTTGGCAGCCAAGATTTCCTCTTATTTTGCAGGTGATTCCATATTAGAGGACATATGCTTTTTATTCCCATTAGTTAAAAACTTGAGAATCACTATCCAATCGAATTATGCCCATTAGCAATTTATATTTGGTTGGCTTTTGACAACATCAAAGCTGAGCCTCATTTTGTAAATCTTTGCCACCAAAATGTTTAAACCATCTGGTTTCATTTTGGGGGATTTTTATCACATTAATTTTTTGGCTTCATTTTTTTAAAGAAACCATGCTAATAAAATTTTAATTTTCGTAAGTAGTTTTTCATACAATTTAATATTATCATTTTTATTCAAATAATTTCTATATTAATTTTGACACAATTCCAACATTTTAATTATTTTTTCATACAATTTTAATATTATTGTTGTTATTAAAAATATTTTTTATAATAGAAGGTTAGTAGTGTATTGAAGAATGGATTTTTCTCTTTTATAGATATATATAACATTTATGTGTGTGTTGAACTTATTTATTTTGAA